GGCAGAGGGGCTGGCTATGGGGCTCAGCCTGGGCACCAGCAACACCAGGGAGAGACTCTCTGTGCACCCAGCTGCGACCCGGTCCCTGCCCTCTCCTTCCTGCCCAGCACAGCTCCTGGCCATCATATAGAGCTGGGCCCCCAGCACCACACAACTTCAGGGTCACCCCGTGGACACCCCACACTAACCACATGGGGGTATGGGACGTTCAGGGGGAGTCAAATGGAGGTGCTGGAGATGGAGCAACAGGCCAGCAAAGGAGAGGGGGTAGAAAACACAGGACTTGGAGGGACAAGCGGGTCTCACCACTGTGCTGTACCACTTGCCAAGGCTTTGGCGAGCCCCCCTGGGATCCCAGGTCTCCCCTCCAGGCAGTGCTCACCAGCTGGTTTGGTCCCAGGCCTGGGGGTGCCACAGCATCCACTGGCTCAGCAGCGACCGAGCAGGTCAGTCCTGTGAAGGATTCGTACAAAAGCCGCCTTCCAGCACAGCAGCTCCAACCATTACGTCTTCCTGCTGCCCAAGGCTTCTGGCACCTTCTCTCTTCCTAGCTAACGTAAATAATCTTGTATCTTCAGCTGTTCCCCTCCTCTTCCAGCTCATTAGGGCTTTTAGAAAACCCAGCCGACCCACCATTAACCTCTTTCCACACCAAGAATTGGCTGTTACTTTGGACTCCAATTCCCACCTCAAACAGCTTCCATCTCCAGGAGGACTCTACCCCTCACCCTTGAGGTGACCAAGTTTCTTTAATAGCCTCTTCTGAGGGACTTTATCAAAAGCCTTTTGAAAGCTAAATAAAATTCTCTGCACCGTATTTCTCCTTTCCCCAGGATTTTGTTATCGCATTTAAAGGCTCCTGACAGGCTAAGGCTGAGAAAGCTTTTGGTTTTGAAGGTGATTTCCTCCTCCTAAGCAGCAAAGCTCTCATTTTGCCTCCTTAATTGGGCCAGCAAGCATGCACAGCTCTGGTTTGGTTTCCTCGGGCAGCTCTTGCTGAATTTCCACATCGCTCCTGTCAGGGTGTTGGTCTCAGCGCTGCGTTACCACACTGCAGTGAGCCGGTAAGCTGCGAGGTTTGGGGAAGGAGCTCCACTCTTTCCACCCACCCACCTCCCTCCGTCAGGTCTCAGGCAGGGACAGAAACTGAGCTTGGCAGATTCTAGGTTTGAAACTCAAAGAGTGTTGCTCTCTTTACATACAAGCCCACCACCACTGAGAGCACCTGCTTAGTTGTGGGGCCACAGCAGGTAATCTGCAAAGCGTCCAACGCAGCATGTGAAGATTAAGCCCACCCACATCCACCCTGCCCACTGTTCCTGCTTAAAACCTGTATGAACACAGAAGTCAGGCTGCAGCTGTTACCAGCCTTTGGCCCAGAGCTACAAAGTGGGTCAGGAGAAACATCAAACCTGCCTGCTCTGACCAGGCCTCCATCCTTACCTCATCTGGATGTGAAGATTAAGGCCACCCACACCCACCCTGCCCACTGTTCCTGCTTAAAACCTGTATGAACACAGAAGTCAGGCTGCAGCTGTTACCAGCCTTTGGCCCAGAGCTACAAAGTGGGTCAGGAGAAACATCAAACCTGCCTGCTCTGACCAGGCCTCCATCCTTACCTCATCTGGAAGTGTTTCCCTAGAAGCCTCGAACGAAAAGCTGCTCTGGAGCTTCAGAGACGTCCCAAGTCGATGTCAAAAGACAGCAGCTGTGGTTTGCTCCTTCTCCCAGTAGAGCTCACTTGCCTGCTCTCCCATTGTCTCCAGTAGGGGCAGGACTGGACTAAGGGGAAGTCCTCAGCAGAGCAGGCTTCAAGCCTCTGCACAGCAGCCAGGCCAGAGTGCCCAGCCATGGTGCGTGCCAGGTCTCTGAGAAGCTGCCAGAGTGAGGCATCCCAGAAGACCTTTCTCCAACTGTGATGGAAATTTTCCTGCAGGTCACTTGGCTCCGGCTATGGAAATGGACATCTGCAAATGCTCTGCAACACATCTACCAAGAAGAGGCCTTCAAGGCTCTTCCAGGAATTGTGCAGGGAGAGGGAAGAGGAGATGCCAGGCTGAGCTGAAACAGAAGCAGTTTTTTTTTCCAGGCTCTGTTTTAGTTTGTTTTCAAGCAGAGCAGTAAACAGCTCTACCTAGGCCTGCACCGCCCTGTCTGCCCAAGCCTGCAGCTGAGGCATAGCTCCTCCTGCCCCCAAGTGCCAGCACATCCTCAGGCCACCCCACACTGGGGCAATCAGGGATGCCCGAAACCCTTCTCGCCACACAAGGGAATCCCATTTTTCAGGCTGCTCTCCTGTCAGATCAGGGATGTGCTTGGCTCAGGGCAGGTTTTAGAGACTCATTAACACTCTGCAATGAGGCCTGGCAGCAGCTGATTTGATTTAAGATTCATTTCCAGGCTGTGATTTAAGAGAAGATTTGCTTAATGTTCTCTAACAGACTCTTCTGACTGGGAGCTTGAGTGCTGCCTAATGACAGCCTTATTTATTGTAATGTCTTTGCAGCGCAGAGTCTAGAGGAGCTGAGCAGGAGCACAGCAGCTGCCAGCAGGTGCTCAGACGGCAGGGGAAGCATCCCTCACCACAGAGTGGTAACACCAGGGCATGCATTTCTTTATCCAGGACAGCCAGATACTGCACCGCTTTTCTGCTCTGAGGTCAGCAAGACAGACCACTCTCTGCTTGCCTACGACAGACGGTGCTGCATTTCTACATACCTTTTTAAGCACGACAGGAGCAACACTCCTCTTTCTCCCTGTTGTAGTACTTGAACGGTGGGAAACGCAGAAGTGCCTGCTCATCTCTAGACTGGTTAAAAGGCAATTTGCAATCAAGACTCCCAAATGCTCCTCCCCATTTCCCAGTTTTGGGCTTCCAACTCAAAGGCTAAGCCTGTTTTCCTCCTGCGAAGGGGGTGGTCATCATCTGACATTTGTAAGCTACCTTGAGCTTCTGAGCTGGATGTACCTACCCCACGGCCGAACACAGAGACAATCACCACACAAATGAAGACAGTAGGTCAAGCAAGGGTTTGTCATATTTTAATGACATTGATCTTTGGTGTTTCCCTCATTAGCACTCACGCTCTCCCTGTCCTTCCTCCACAAGCCTGCTAGGGATGGAGAGTTACAAACGAAAAGGAAAATCACATTTGAGACTAAAACCAAAATGCCAGAGCCTTGATATCTCCACTAGAAACTACCTGTACAAGGTCAAGCTTTCACATGCAACACCTTACATCACAGACCCATACCTCACAGCCTGGCCTGGAGCTGAAAGACGTTTCCTGCCCCCTGCCAAGGAGGTGCAGCTCAGTCCTGGCACCACGCCACTGGGACGGCTCATTCACGTTAATACTGGCACAGCTTAGAACATCCTTGCACGAACTGCATCCTGACTAGAGAGCAGCAGCCGCTGTCCCTCTACCCCTCTGTACAGAAGCTCTGCTTAGGTTCCCACCAAGTGCTAAACTAACTCTCTAAAAAGGAAAGATCCCCAACTGAGCAGCAGATCCTGAGCCATGCAGGTTTCACAAAGCCCAGTTCTTCCCAAAAAAGACCACAGTGCGGGCAGAACAGGTCTCAGAATACCATGCTCTGAAGGGCAAGCAGTGGTGTGCCATGGAGTGGGGCTATGGCCTGGAAGACTCCTCCACTCCAGCGATGGAGCTGGAGCATCACACCCAGGTTTGCCCAGTAGGACTGCCTGTCTCCAGAAGGATGCTGCAGGCCCTCTTCCGCTTCTTCACTCTACTCACCAGCGCCCAGGCATAAAAGGGCAGGAAAGAGGAAAGGAAAGCTGCTTTACAAAGGATGACACTGACCAAATTGCAGGGTCAGGGCTGAGCTCAGGGGATCCCATGGGGCTTCAAAATCTGCATGATGTGCAGCCAGTATGGTTCATATTCCTGCCAACGCTTTGGCAGTGGGAATGTTGCAAGTGAAGTATGCTTTCTTCCCCATGGCTTCCCTTGCAGTCCTTGTCCCTTCCCACTCACCCAGGATCAAGGAGCCCTCTGAACCGCCAGCATCCTGTCAGAGCCAAATGTCCCTACTCTTCCAGCTCCTGGCCAGCTGTGAGGTACAGGTCTCTGCTGAGCAGTACAAGGGTAGCACCAACACACGACTCAATCTCTACCTGTTCCGCGACTCCCCACTGGTGCTGTCATTACTATAGAAGTTGGTACTGTCAGGAAGATGGTTATTATTAGTTAGGTCACCGTATTCAGTTGGTCCCTCAGTGTCCATGGAGGACTGGGCCTGCTCCAGCAGGTCCAGATCCCCAGCACTTTGTCCTTCACTCCCACCAGGGGCTGTCCGCGGGCTCAGGCCATGCTCTGACAGCTGCATAGACTCCGACAGGATCCGTCCCTCCAGCTCGGCTGCCAGCTGCTGTGAGCTGGACTG